CCCTCAGAGCGCGGCTGCACAGGTACAAGCCAGCACGAGAAGCGCTGCCAGCCGGCAGCCGGCAGGGACTGTGCCTGCAACTCTGCAGTAATTTCATCATTAAACCTCTCCATTCTCACAGATTACTGAACTCATTCTCTAAGGTTAAATTAGGTGTGTAATTAAATATGTAATTGTAGATTAAATGTGGGATAAGCATCTGTAGGCAGTAATACCGTGGCTGAGAGGGATCATGCCAAGCAACCGACTCGATTCGCACACCTCATGTCCTTGCACGACTAAAGCTCTGTTCCTGGAGATACCCATTCAGATTAGCAAGACCGAGTTAAGGAACTTGCAAATTGTTCCCAACGTTTTCCACGCCCAGCAGGGTTCTGAACATCTAGCCATGACAGCCCTGCTCTTCCATGAATGAAATTTCTTCAGAAATATGGCTTTCTCTATAAATACCTTGGATTATTTGAGACACAGTAACAGCTCACATTTTGAAATGTCATTTGAATTTATGTAACAGTTTACTGTATATTTGCCTGATGCTCTTATTACTGTCATCTAGAATAGCCAAATTTCCATGTACAGAAGACCATTTACTGTATCCCACAGTCCTATGTATTTATACATAGATAGGTGATTTGTAGAAAGTATCAGCCATTATCTGGATCATCAATAAATTTTAGTCAATTTGCATTAGTTACTCACAATCATATACATATTTTTCCACATTTTATGATAATTTTTGTTTTAAATACACAATCAACTTCATATTTAAAAAATTATTTATAGTGTTTAATGAGCAGGTCATTTCATCTATTTTTTTTTAAAAAATCTATCAATCATGGAATGCCTGCCTAGTGTGTATCTCGCCTTTATTTCTGCATCCCTTTATTTCAGGATCTCACTCTGCAGCGTGGGCTCCTGTGGTCCTCCTGTTCTCAGCCTGCCCAGGGACTCAGTGGCCAGCTCGGCCTGCCTGAGGAGGGACTAGGGTCAAGTAGTGCTGGGACGCAATCCTGTGGCTGCACTTGCCTACATGGGCACCTGGTCTGCCGAGCCATCTTGCTGGCTCTTACACGTCTATCTTCTATAGTCATCTTAAATGAAATTTCTTTTAAGCACTTGTAAAAATTCTAGCTTTACAAATTGTTTACTGTCACATTTTATTATTTTAAGCACTTTCCAAAACATCTGTTCTATGTACATACTATAAACACATGCGTCCACTGTGTGGGCCTCATCGTTTTTCCCAGATATGGATGTGGGAGTGTGACCGCCGGCTCGCAGACACCGCAGGACAGTCACACTTTCCCCTGATCCCCTCTCACTATGTCCCAGTAGCCCACCCACTCACCTGATACCCATGTTCTCCTCAGCAGCGACACGTGTGTGGACACATGGACACCTTAGGGGACCAGGCCACCTTGACAGGGAGCTGATCAGCTCTGCACTTATGTATTCACTCAGGAAGGTCCACAGGGACTTGGACCACAGAGGCTGAGTCCACAGCACACAGGCTGGCCCTGGGCCAGGCCTGGGGAAGGTGCCCTGCTAGTTGTTTATATAAAAAACATGTTCCTCAGTGTGCTAAGGGTCAATGCCACGGGGAATTGCTCTTCTCAGACTCCCCAAATATCATGGTATTGCAAAGTCTTGTGGGACTGCAAGTCTCACGTATGTGTTAATCCTCCATTCCATAGGCAAAATGTGTCTCCATGTTTTGATTTTACTGGGTAGCAAATGTACTACTTTGCAATACAGCATGATAAATGTAACGTAAGCACAGTGGAAGAGATGCTTAAAGGGTCTAGCATTTCGGAGCAGCCTTAGCTTTGCCTTAGGTGCTCTTGTTACGATGTTGCTAGTCGCAATTACATTAGAAAAACTATTTGATGTACAGTGTGTAACTGGGTACACCTCACATTGGCTATTTAGGGAAGGTCCACTGGTTCATTTTACATTTTCATGTAGATAACTCAGAGGAAATATTCATCAATAGCTCTCAGAGTCTCAGATTACTGAACTCCTGGAATTATCCTTCTGAGAAGAGAGCCTAAGTGCCTCATACAGCTTTGCTTGTTCTAAACGTTTGTTTTCGGTAAAAAGAGATTCAATAAAGTTCACGCTTTAATCGATAAGGATGCTGTTACTCGGTCCATTGAACAGTCTCGCATTTTCCTGCCACCACCAAGGCCCCACGACCCAGAGCCTCTGTTCGCCCACGTGGCTCGAGTTGACCCCAGAAGCAAACGCGCCTTCTCCCTGGCCCTGGAAACCCCATTCTCCTGAATCTGTGGATCATAGTGACTCTCTGCTCACCAACGTGACTCTTTCCACAACTCTGGCACCAAGCCAGTTGAATGAGAAGTGAACCAAGTTCAGTGGTTGGGGTCAGGGCTGATCTGATTGGGAAATTCGATCCGGTTTCTGTCCAGTTTGGTTTGTGAGCAGAGCCTGCGGGAGCATTTAGTCCATGAACCGAGGCACACGGTACTTCTGTGGTTCTGGGAACAATGGAATCGTGCAATACGTGTCCTTTGGCATCTGACTTACTGTCCTTGGAATAGTGTTTCCAAGGTGCATCCTTTTGGGGTGTATGAGAGTTGTATTTCTTTTCAGTTACAAATACAATCTCGCTTAATATCCGCAGCTCGCCTGTGGCCGTCCTCTGCTGCTCGGCACTGGGGAGGTTTCCAGGGCTCGGCTCTTGTGGATGGTGGTGCGACAGACATGGTCCAGGGAAACCCATGGGAGTGCCCTGTGTATTCATCCCTGAGTGACCCAGAATCGCTGAAGTGTATGGGACTTGGATGCCTTTCAGGGACAGGAACTGCCACACTGTTTCCTCAGTGGCTCCCAAGGCTTACCTCCCACAGGC